CCCACCATTTCTCGCCCAAAACCGACCGACACCCCCCCACCACCCACACCCGCCCCCGCACCCGCCACTCCATGGAGCATCTGTTCCATGTAACCCCCCACCTCAATTCTCACCCAAAACCCACCGACAGCCCCCACCACGCCCCACCACCCCCGTCACCCCAACCTCACCCCATGACGCATCTGTTCTGGGAACAGCCACCCCAAAACCGACCGAACACCCCCAACGCGCCCCCCCACGCCCTGAGCACCCCAACCCATGGAGCATCTGTTCTTGGGACCCCCCACCCCAATTTCTCGCCTAAAACAGACCGACACCCCCCACCGCGTCCCCACCACGCTCCCGCACCCCACCCCATGAAGCATTTTTTCGTGGGACCCCCCACCCTGCATTTCTCGCACAAAACCGACCGACGCCCCCCAGCGCGCCCCGACCGTGCCCCGGCACCCCCACTCCATGGAGCATCTGTTCTTGGGGCCCCTCACCCCGCCATTTCTCGCACCAAAAACCGAACCGATAACCCCCCACCGCGCCCCCCACGACCCCCCGGCACTCCCACCCCATGGAGCCTCTGTTCTTGGGACCCCCCACCCCACCATTTCTCGCCCAAAACCGACCGATACCCCCCACCGCGCCCCCCACCACGCCCCGGCACTCCCACCCCATGGAGCCTCTGTTCTTGGGACCCCCCACCCCACCATTTCTCGCCCAAAACCGACCGATACCCCCCACCGCGCCCCCCACCACGCCCCGGCACTCCCACCCCATGGAGCCTCTGTTCTTGTGACCCCCCACCCCACCATTTCTCGCCCAAAACCGACCGATACCCCCCACCGCGCCCTCCACCACGCCCCGGCACTCCCACCCCATGGAGCCTCTGTTCTTGGGACCCCCCACCCCATCATTTCTCGCCCAAAACCGACCGATACCTCGCACCGCCCCGGCACTCCCACCCCATGGAGCCTCTGTTCTTGGGACCCCCCACCCCACCATTTCTCGCCCAAAACCGACCGATACCCCCCACCGCGCCCCCCACCACGCCCCGGCACTCCCACCCCATGGCGCCTTTGTTCTTGGGACCCCCCACCCCACCATTTTCGCCCAACACCGACCGATAATCCCTACGCGCCCCCACCACGCCCCGGCACTCCCACCCCATGGAGCCTCTGTTCTTGGGACCCCCCACCCCACCATTTCTCACCCAAAACCGACCGATACTCCCCACTGCGCCCCCCACCACGCCCCGGCACTCCCACCCCATGGAGCCTCTGTTCTTGGGACCCCTCACCCCACCATTTCTCGCCCAAAACCGACCGATGGCCACCGCGCCTCCCACCACGCCCCGGCACTCCCACCCCATGGAGCCTCTGTTCTTGGGACCCCCGACCCCCGCAATTGCTCGCCCAAAACCGACCGATACCCCCCGCCGCGCCCCCCACCACGCCCCCGCACTCTCACCCCATGGAGCCTCTGTTCTTGGGACCCCCACACCCCCATTTCTCACCCAAAACCGACCGATACCCCCCACCGCGCCCCCCACCACGCCCCGGCACTCCCACCCCATGGAGCCTCTGTTCTTGGGACCCCCCACCCCACCATTTCTCGCCCAAAACCGACCGATACCCTCCACCGCGCCCTCCACCACGCCCCGGCACTCCCACCCCATGGAGCCTCTGTTCTTGGGACCCCCCACCCCACCATTTCTCGCCCAAAACCGACCGATACCCCCCACCGCGCCCCCCACCACGCCCCGGCACTCCCACCCCATGGCGCCTTTGTTCTTGGGACCCCCCACTCCCACCCCATGGGGACTCTGTTTTTGAGACCCCCACCCCACCACTCCTCGCCCAAAACCGACCAACACCCCCCACCACGCCCCCCCACCACGCCCCGGCACTCCCACCCCATGGAGCGACCGACACCCCCCACCACGCCCCCCACCACGCCCCAGCACTCCCACCCCATGGACCCTTTGTTTTTGCGACCCCCCACCCCACCATTTCTCGCCAAAAACCGACCGACACCCCCCACCATGCCCCCCACCACGCCCCGGCACTCCCATCCCA